CAAGGTACATTGAATTAATATTGCTTATCGGTATTTTGCTAGCCGAGCATGAAGAGTGGGTCGGATAAGGAAGCTGCCGGTATAAGCGGAGACGCCTCAAAGAGCTCCGGTAGTCAGTCAAAGTCCATGCCGACGAGCAATGGACAAGCCACCTACGCCAAGATCGGTTACTACCGTGGAACCATGGTCGCCATCAAGGACGTCACTAAGGAACACATCAACGTCTCCAGGAACGTCTTGAAGGAGTTCTTTACGGTATAAAAACACGTTAATTACGTCCTCCTTCGTACATTGAATATTAATCCACAAAACTGTAACGGCTATTTAATCGTATTACTCTGCTATATATGCAATACTACTCACGATTAAAAACGTGGCTAATATCTCATCAGTGAGACATAATTATTTCAATTCACCTGCCAAATCAATTACAGCTTTTACATCAACAATTGCAAAGACAGATAGGACACAGTTCTTACTACGATTGTTGTTTAAGTGTAGTAAGTGAGAAATAAGTGTTATCAGCAGTGTATAATATAGATATCTATAATATAGATCCCGATATTATATACCCCCGGTATTATTATTAAGAGCCGATCAATCTGGTTGAAAACGTTGGGCCTCTCTTCAGGATGCTCTGCTGTTTATTTCATCCAGTACCGTAAGATTATCTGCATTACAGATACGTGACCTACTCCACGAGAATGTGAATCCATTCATCGGTGCATGCATCGAACCACCCAACATCGCCATCATCTGGCAGTATTGTCACAAGGGTAGCTTAGTGGTAAGGAAACATATTACACGACAGTGGTGCCACCAGCAAACGATTGGCGACAGTTACAAAACGCAAAACCTTTTCGCTAATGTTGAACGAGAAATGCTTTATACATAAGATTTTACGTAATATACGTAGATTTTACGTAGTACTCTGTCTAATTAATATGCATTAAACCCATGGTATTGCGTCATGGTAGGGCCGCCTTCGGATTCAAAGTTTGAATTGTAGTTCAAGTTGGAATCAATGAGCAACGTGCAGCTACAGATGCCTTGCATAGCGTCATATCATTGCTCATTATATATGTTTATCAGGACATCATAGAGAATTACGATGTCAAGTTGGACAACTCCTTCAAACTATCGATGATCGCTGACATCGCCCGTGGCATGGAATACCTTCACAAGAGCATACTGCATTCCCACGGAAACCTCAAGTCGACCAACTGTCTTGTCGACAATCGCTGGACGGTTAAGATCACCGACTACGGCCTACAAAGCTTCTTGATGGGAATGGGTCAGAAAGAAGAGGAGGATGAGAATTACATGTTTCTACGTAAGTTATTCGCACGTGCACTCGCACAAGAAAATATCAGCATTTATAGCTGAGTAAAGATTAGGTAATTAACATGGACGCGGACAATAAATCCATGAAAAAAAGATATCGAAGCTGCAGATGAAATCACGGTGCATGTGGAGTGCCCATTCAACTAAATTTTGTTTATGACACATCACAGGAAAACAGTGGACCGCACCTGAGATTCTGCGCGAAAATTTCCCGAGTCCAAAGGGCACACAGAAAGGTGACGTGTACTCGTTTGCCATCATCGCCTACGAGGTGTGTGGCCGACAACCAGCGTACAACTTCGACAACATGGTTCCACGAGGTATATGTTATGTAAACAAATAAATATATATACAAAAAATAAATAAATAAAATAAACAGACAAACCAACAAACAACTAAATAAATAAATAAATAAATAACTGAATAAATAAATAAATAAACAAACAAACGAACAAATAAATATATAAATAGAGAGAGGGGGGGTGAGAGAAGAGTGGCGGTTAGTCATTATGGCTATGTATATCTATTTCGATTACAGACGCTATAAATAGAGTGCGCAATGGAGAGGCGAAGCCATTCAGACCCCCGCTCCCGGACGATGAGTTTGTTGACATCTCACCTAAGATCAAGGAACTGATCTGCAACTGCTGGAGTGAGAACACGGAAGTACGCCCCCCTTTTACGAGCATTAGAAAGACACTACGAGACATCAATGGCGGAGAGTAAGTCAGATTATGTTACGGGTTTCCAAAAAAAAAGTTCAAGAATACCTGATATTTTTTACATTGGAACAGAATGTGACCCGAAAGAAAGTAATTGTTTGGTGAGTTCAATTTTTTCGCCACCAAACACAAATATAACTACTCACGTGTAAAGGTAGTTAGGATTCTAAAGACTTCAATACTATCTCAATTGTTTTCATATGTTTCGAGTAAAATCAACGTATAATCGGGTATCAACGGGCCATAATAATAGGTATCAGCAAGTTCTGAAATAAACGTTAAAGCTGTATGTATTACCTGCTGACTGTATTGATTACATCGGATACGTGTTTGCGCGTGTCTACCGCAGCATCATCATCATCGACATGATATTGAACATGATGGAGAAGTATTCGAACAATCTGGAAGAAATCGTCGATGAGAGAACTGAGCAGCTGAACGAGGAGAAACTAAAGACAGACAAACTTCTATACCGGATGTTACCCGCGTAAGTTACAGCTCACCCACTTCATTTTGTTACAACGCCATATAGCAACGGTCATCGCTGATTTGGACCAAGGTTTCTCTGACAGTTACATACAGTTTATTTTTACGTAATTATTAGTTGTTTTTTATAGTTTGTTATGTAATCGAGTAAATGCATAAATATGTTTTTGTCAGCCGAGGTCCGAGCAACGCTTGCAAGCTTGCGTTCACCGATCTTATCTAATACCATCTACCCATAATATGTTCTGAAAATCGCAACATTCTATTATCGCTTCTCTATCACGTTAGAAGGCTGCTTATAGTGGCAAACCCACCTTATGGTTACGGCCATCAAGAAAACATACACACGCCGGACTTGCCAGTGAGTTTCCTTAAAGGCTAGCAAGAATTCCTTTCCCGCAAAAAATAGTCTGATTGTTGCCTCTTTCTGCTTCAGCACCGTAGCCGATAACCTCAAACTCGGCAGAGCTGTCCAGCCAGAGGCGTATGAAGAGGCCAGAATTGTTATATTGTATTGCCACGTGCGTGGAAAAAATGGTGCTCGCATCGATCTAATAACTACAGACAGTTATTGACGAGTTGTTTATCGCGTAAATGCAATGCCTGATGTGGATCTGTTCTTGCTGAAATGTCACAGACAGCGAACAAATGAATCCTCCAGTGCGGTTTACTGCACCTGAGGGTCATTGTCAGAAACATAACAAGTAGAGGTGATATCAAAAGTCAAAGATGTCACAATTTCTTATGTGAATTGTAATGTATATTAAAGTAATGACATTTTCTAATTAGTCACGACTACGTATATGATCTTTCTGATGACTAGACGGGGCCATCGTCAGGAACGCTCTAAGCGCATCTCGTTTTCCAATCTTGCACTCGAATAATTGACGCCTTGATCTATGACTGTGAGAGAAGGCACAGCAATAAAGACATTTACAGACAGATTAAATTCTCACGCGTACTTAGTCTATTGCTTTACAATTCCATTCAATATGTTTCCGTAAATTCAGTTATTTTTGCACCGATAAGAAAAATCCCAACGATTTTCTCCAATATAATACATAGGAATGACAATCGTTAAACATCGAGATTGATAATGCAACCTTGTTATCGCTACCCCCTGAACCCCCAAAATGTTAGGTATATTTCTTAAGGCTGCTAGCCACGATAATACACATTTCTCATAGCAGCAGCCTGTGGCCCAGCTAGCTGCATTCTGGAGCATTCCCCTCGTATCCTGGGTGGCGGCCGACCCGGAATTTGGCGACAAAGTCATGTACAGCACCATGACGAGAATCCTAGGCCCGTTCAGAAAGGTCGGCTTCAGCTTCGTTGACATATTCGAGTTTTATGGCTGGCAAAGAGCTGGAATCCTATCATCTAACTGGTCGTTATACAAGAAAGCCGCACGAGCTATCAACGATGGTAAGTACTAAGTAGCTATCAGACGATGATCATCCTCACAATGACAATGTAATATAATAATAATAATAACAATAATAA